TGGTTCAGAAACTTTTTATATATATATATTTTTTAACCCTCTTTGCAAATTGAAGAGGTGTCATTTTTGAAGTTAGTGATATTGTTAGAATTTAGAGAGAAATGACTAAAAAATAAATGAAAACAGGCTAAAGTCCTTCACTTTCAGACACTTTAGCATTTTCTTTTGTATTTCACCAAATATAATACTTGGTTTAAAACGGCATTACAAGTATAATGGTTGAAGTACATTTAATATTGAATTTTCAGTCAATACAGTTGCAAAATTATAAATTGAATTTCGGTGGAAATAATGATCTTCGACAATTGTACTCAAGGTTGAATATTATCTACAACAGTTGATGTGTGGAAACAAACTGAGTTTAAATTTAAACAAAAACAATAGATTATCAAATTGTATAATCGGGATTAAATGATGTTAAATCATTTAGAACAACTATGTTGATTATCATAAATCAGAATTCCCCTTGAATTTTAAAGCTTCATTTAGGGGTCTTCATAATTTGGAATTTCAGATCAATTCAATAACTGGTTAAATCCATTTACTAATTATTCTGTTTGAGTTCATATTGGGATTAAACTAAATAAGGGCACGTTTAAATGTTTGGTTTTGAGTTTACGCATTTTGAATCCAGCACCGAACACTTTCCTAAATAAGTAACGATTTTTATAAAACTTTAGGTTTCTGCTTTATACTTTAAAGTTTTGAAATAATGAAAATTCATTTCCAATCATGAAATACCCTTCCCATTGCCCAAATACTTTCCTATCATGGAATCCCCTTCCCATTGCCCAAATCCCTTCTTGATTGTTGGTATTTATTTCCGATGTATGTATTTGTTAAACTGTAATCGATGATATTCATACAGATTATAACGATTTGTATTCATATAAGTTATAAGCTCAAATAAGAATTTAGGTAATTCAGATTGATTGGTGCCTAATTCAGATTGATTGGTGCCTAATTCAGCTTGGATCTCAGGTAAATCGACAATCTGGCAAAACCCCAATAACCACTCCTAGCGTCATTCAAAAAGTTGACCCGATGATCAATATGTTTATTTATTATACTTGAATTGGGTAATTATTAGATTTGTTGTCGCTTCGAACAATCTTTAAGTCCATCATTACTAGCTTCATTTTAATGATATGGTTTCAAGTTCAAGCAACAAAGTACAATATAAATAAAACTAATAAAACCGTTGGAGATGAAACAAGATAACATGGCATCTATTATATTTTGATATACGTTGTACATATGACCAAATTGATTATTTAACATCGAGTTAAAGATGGTTTAAAATCTCAAAATTCTAACAAATTTAGATATTGTATGTATTGAATTGTTTTATTTAAATTGTATTTCCATAATTTCATAGATTATATATACATACATACATACATACATATATATACATATATAGACCAATTTTTAACCTTTGTATTAGATCTACAATCTGAACATTCATAAACGTCACGAGACTTCTCAATAATCACAAAATTGTCACCGTGCAACTTTAGACCATTAGATCATTAACTTATAAAGTTGATCAATGAACATAAATTGGTCTTATGGGTCTCACGAAAAACTTTTTGTCTCACGTGAACCCAACCCTACACACACACACACACATATATATATAGATTTGGGATCATGTGAGATCAATGGTTTTTCGTGAGACCCCTAAGAACAATTCTCAACCCTTTGATTAGATCTACAATCTGAACATTCATAATCACAAAATTGTCACCGTGCAACTTTAGACCATTAGATCATTAGCTTATAACGTTGATCAATGAACATAAATTGGTCTTACGGGTCTCACAAAAAACCTTTGGTCTCACGCGAACCCAACCTTATCTATACTATCTTATTAAACAAATTTAACAAAAGTCTTAAAGTCTTAAAATACTAAATGACCAAAATATCTTTTATACTCACTTTTTCACTCACTCCTCTCCTCACATGCACTCACCCCCTCACGGCCTCACATACACTTACCCTCTCACAAACGGATTTTTTTTAAATTATAATTTTAAATTTACATTTTATATCCCTATAATTAATTAATTAATTTACTTTACATCTTTTACTTTTAAATGTTTCATTTTAAACATTTATCAAATTAACATACATAATCGAATATCAATTAAAACATGTTTAAAAAATACATTTTTATTTTAACAAGTTACACTATTATAATCATCTCGTTAATACCTTCGAAATGAGTCCAATATTGAATAGTTTTTGACTTGATTATATTATTATATATTATATATATTGTGATAAAATATTTTTAATATTTACGATTTATACTTTTATAGTTATTTATTTATATATATATATACTATATATTTTGAGGTTAGGTTGTCCAAATTGCACTGTATAATATGTTTTGAATTAATATGTTCTTAGGTTTTTTAAAATATATATATACATGTATTAATTCAACCTTAATCTGATTTTCTGGACAAGAAAGAGGGTAAACAGTTGAAATTTCATTCTAAAACCTAACTTTTTTTGTCTTTTCATGGCTTATGATTTGTCAAACTTGTAGTTTTCTTTATTGGTTTTGAGTGTTTATCTTAAAACTCAAGTTTTTTGGTTCTTTGCTCTTGGTGTAAATCGAATACATTTGTGGAGTCGTTTAAATATGTTGGATTTTAAATATATTGGATTTTAAACTGTCATACAATTTTTTTTATCGATAGTCTGTAATTGGAACTATAACTCTTATTTATTCAAATTATATTAATATGTAAAGACCAAGTGTAACATATATCATCGTTAAATCTTATCTTATAAAACCAGTGGAACTTCAAAATCGTTAAAAATTCATGGCTTCCGCCGCATTGCATGGATACACAACTAGTATATATACATATATATATATATATACATATATATATACATATATATATACATATATATATATATACACACACATACATATGTATATATTTTGTAAGGAGAAAGAAATACCTTACATATGTATATTAGATAGTGGTTTTCCTCATGCTTCTAGATGTAATGCTTTAGTAGTTAAAATTATATTAATAAATTCAAATAAAAAATAAAAAATTCGAATTATTTCCCATTTTCTTGATTTGTTTTAGGGTTTTTCCTTTTTATGTAATTGGGTTGGTGGTGGTGGGTCTTGTGGGACACCATCTACACCTTTTCTTATTTGCTTGTTTGTCCCTTTTCTCTCTCTTCTTTTTCAAACTCTCAATTTCATATCATTTCGTTGTGTAATACATTTGTCCCTCATTCTTCATGTGTACCCAAATTATGATTAATAGTGACATCATAAGGGCAATATGGGAATTCCATTCTTGTATTATAGAATTTTCAACATTTCTTAAATGATATGACGTATTGTTTATTCTATTTTTATTATAAATTGGTAATAAATCCATATTAAATATCTTTTATTTTAGACAGTATATTACACGACAGTAATTTTGATAGAAAAGTCAAAAAGAGCATTGCAAGATGCAACGAATGTGTTCAGTTTTTATCAACAACAAAAAACCTACTGTATCCTTTATATATATGGAAGTAAAACAAGACCATCATGCAAAAAAAATGTATAAAAAAATATGAACAAAAAATACAAATGCAGACAAAAGATAAAATGAAGTGTATTCATATTTTGAAAAGATTTACGCGGTTAAGAAAATTTGTATTAAATGGTAAAAAATTGTTCTTTGGCGAACAAGATTTGACGTTTTATAAAAAGTTAACACTAAAGTCTTAGGCGTTTATTGGTAGGATATTTGATGGCACAAGAAAATTGTTGATTTAATTGAAAGAATGTTCGATTTGGTCTATTAATCTTTTATTAAGTTGTATTACGTTAATACTTGCTGGTATTTACTTAAAAAAACTCAAGTATTTTTGTATATCTAATCATGAAAGATTGGTAATTTCTTGAATGATATAAACGACATTTGAAACCAGAATGATTCTTAGGCTTTTTAACTTTCGATGTTTATTCATTGCATCGGTAAATTCAAAAAAATGGAGCTTTTAATCCTTAAAATCAAATCGATCTTTACATAAAATTGAAGGTGAAATTTAATAGGTATAAAATTATATGTGACATTGAAACACACCGGTTTTGTTAGTTTTGACATACAAGTTAACTTTCAATTGAAAACATAATTAAAAAAATAACAGTTTCATACCTGTATTATCATAATACACGGGCCAGTTTTATGAGAAGACTACAAAAAAATGGAAAACTGATAAACAACCTAATAACTATTTATTTGTATAGTATGCACATGAATTTAAAATACATGCTTGCATTACTTTTATGCATATGTACATACCGTGCAAATGAATTGTTATTAAAGTATTTCTCAGTTTTTCATTTTTTATGGTTTCCCTTGAACCCGAGTCCATGATAACTACATAAAATTATATGGTATAACTCATCAAGAATGGTTGAGATTAAATTGAATTTAGTAACAATTATATTTATTTTCAACAACTTTAATAGCAATAGATATTAACCACAACATTAAGGGAGTGTTTGAGATTGCTTATTTGAAACAACTATGCTATTTTTATAAAAGCACTTATCAATTTATTAGAAGTCAGAAGGGTTTAACTTCTTCAAAAACTCCTTATTACAGGTTTGGCACCGGTATAAGTTGTTTATCCAAACACTCAAAAGTGCTTATTACCGATGTCACATCGAAATAAATCAATAAGTTATTTTTATAAGCAATCCCAAACAACCCTAAGACTGAAAAATGATGATGAATATTGTTTTTGTGATAAATGAAGTTCAAATAAGACAATAAATTGCTTTCCAACCATATCTATTGTCCTTATTATCTATTTCATGAAATATGGTGATTTTTTACAAGTATGTAATATCAAAATGAAATAACCAAACATTTGCATTTTTGTAAAAGAAATAAGCAATTTTCAAGACTAAGTGACATTGCATTTGTATAATTGGGGCATATGAACATCATATGGTACTTGAGCTACCAAAAAAGGCACAAATTGACCATTAAAGATACACTAATTAAGCTACTGATATGAGCTTCAGAAACTAGCACAAGTTTAAGTTTATAAACCTCCATAACACATGACATGGAATTATATATGACCTACAAAAACCAAGGGTTTCTAAAAATCAATACATGACAAGAAGCATACCGACCAAGGCTCTCTCGCTACTCGGTTTTAATGTCTTGTGCAGATTCGTCATTTTGGTTTCCCCCGCTTTTCAGCCCATCTTTTAACTGAATTACACCAAAAAGAAAGGAATCAGTCTTGGAATTAACAAATGAATTTACAACTTCATTTCTGGGATGTTGGTAACTATCTTATCTAAAATTGCAAAGTTGCTAGCTGTCACTAGAGATGGGTGTTTGGGCATGAAGGCCAAGCTTGGCCCATGACCAGTTATAAAGATCCCAGGACTTGGTAAGACCAGGTAGTGCCCGACGGTTACAATCAGTTGTAACTTCATTTCTGGTTAGCAAAAGGACCGGTTACTATATATATACACACACACACACACACATAACACATACATATAAACAAAACAGATATAACACAAAAACCAAATCAGAAGTACCTAATATGTCCCACTCAAAAGTAAGGTTGGAGGGTAGGATGTATGCAAGACCTCTTCCTCCACCCCTAGGAGTATAGAGGTTGTTTATGTGAACGGCTTGTAACAAGGTTGTGGAAAGTATTGAAAGAAGCGGAAAGTTTCTATGATTTTTATAGAGGTTTGAACATTTTGTAGCGCTTGAGACGGCAAAGTCTTACCAAGCAAAGAGGCCACTCTCTAGGTACCCTAGCATTACCCCACCCAGTTTGCTTTGTTGAAGGGAGGAAGATCACAAATAGTGTCCACTGCTAACCTATCCGTCAGCCCTCTTAACTCTTCCCCTCCCACCCTTTACCCCTCCATCCCCCTTTGTAGTAGTATTAGTCCCTATAAATAAATTGCTACCATAATCCGGTGTCTCCAGGAGCTTGTATCAGAGGTCTATGTCCTTGAAAAGATTTAAGATTGCCATGTCCATTCTCAGCTGCTCATCCCACATCATTGGCACTGAATCCTAAACTATTACGCTTTCTACCCTCCTGACCAGTGTCATTGTATATAACACACATTAATAAATACATACATACATACATGCATTTACACATACATATATGATATAGACCAAACCAAACAAACCCAATACATCTACCTAAATATATGATATATAAACATTAATACATATATAAATATACATATACATTTTAAATAAAAATATCTATAGGGGACCAGGCTTACAGAGTGGTTTAAGGACTGATGGTCCTACTTCAGTTATGATTTTCAGGTAAAGCACTGGTTATGAAGGCCCAGTTAAGGCCCGATTTTGGGCATCTCTGGTTGTCATCACTACAAAGAATTGGTGATATTGATTCTTAAATTTTGTTACTATTGAAGACTCTGTTCAATAACCAAATATTCATCTTAAAATACGATTTCGGGATTTTGATGGGAGGGAGAGTTTCACAAATATTAACCGAGATCTCATAGAAATAACAAATAAACTGCATCTTTACCTGTCGCAGGACTTTTTTCTGGTAACGGTAGCCCTGATGAGAAAGAAATACAGCATTAGTAATTTATGTTGCAACAAAATAAAGCTGCAACTATTGCCTTGTGGGTTCTGAAATGCAAACGGATAAATTGAAAAAAAAAAATACAATACCTTGTCTGTTCCATATATGTAGTCACAGTAAGTGAAGACAGATGCAAAATTGCTTTGGCTTTGTCCTCCGACATAATGGTGATAATCATGGTAATCAGCTCCACCATAGAAAGGGATAAACTTCGTGAAAGTCCAGGGGAAATCATACCTGCATAATGCAAAAAGTCCAATAGTATCAAGTGTTTTTCTGTTCAGTTGTACTTCAGTCCATATTATGTGAAATCCGGAAGTAGCATTTCAGTGGAAGCACAATATCTATAATCTATCTTCCCATTTCATACGACTGACAAAGCCACAAAACCTTTAAGCAAAGGTATGTCAAAGCCACAAAACCTTTAAGCAAAGGTATGTCCATACTAGATGTGTCAAAGGTACTGAAGAAAGGGTTAAAAATGCATCAAACGAATAAAAATCAACAATTTTTAACCAATTCAGGCGCTGATGATACATTGTATACAAGTTGCTCAAAGACATGTGTTTTGTTTCCATAAATGTGGTTTGTTTTGAAATTTGGTATTTTAGGATTTCTCTACAAGAATCTCTTTCAAATAGATGCTAGATATCTATCTCATTGCAGCACCTCAACTTCAGAATGGGTAGCTTAAAACTTTTTGTCATCCTGGCAAGGGCCAGCATACAACTGTTGGTCAAAATTATTGGATTAGGAGGCCCAAAAAGAATTGGGCATGCTAATTACAAACTGAAAATTATTTAATACTAACCAAATTATTGTGGCTGAATCAAAAGTTAAGACCAAACTACATAAGATTCAGGTAGTTGGCCTTTCATATAAATATATATTCAGAAGCCATGTCATCAAACAGCGACCATTAGAACACTACACCTCATTTTACATCAACACTCAGCAACAGCATCACAAGAACTATCATACAGCAACCTCAGATAAAACACAGAGCAGCACCACACAGAAATAATCCCCAGCAGCAATATTTCATCTCATTAACATGATCATTCATAATCATAGAAGTTCAAGAATTTTCCCGAAAGTGCAGAAAAATTTAGAATTTCTCTTCCGAAATTCCAGCACTTTCTATTTGTGAGAGAACCACGGACGCAAATCTTCCTTTTGACAGTTCCCATATACTTATTATCAGTACTTTTAACTCCACATTTGCACACACAACACCACCACATATGCTTGACCACAAAAACTGTTGATGAGGTAATTAAAACAAGACATAGAACTCCCCAACTTCCAACAATCATCAAACCTCCAGCAGCATATGCACTAAACATGATAAATGATACAAGGGTAGGGCTATAGTATCCACAAGAAAGTACCTTTCCTTGGATAGAATAACTGTAAATCCCTTAACTATGAAAGGTATAGAACCAAACACATGCTCAGACCACAAGGGAGAAAACTATAAGAAAACGCAAAAATTAAGGATAAGTGCCCTCACTTCCAGAGCCTACTGAAAGAGCCCAAACTGAAAATAACAGAATCGTACCTTCCTTGGTGACAATGTGACAAAGATGATAAGAATGAAAATTGTTTGTCAAAGGATCCAAACAAAGACACAATTTAAGACAAACAGAGCACAGCAAAATTACTGTTTACTGTTAATCAAAACAATGGTAGCAGCATATACTTTCCATCATACTGTTATTTCTATTTTTGACATAATAACCTTGTGGTTGTGCGAAAGTAGAAAATACTAGTGATGGCATAATCTATGTTGCTTCGAATACAAAAATAAAAGGTTGACTACTACCTAATTGTGAAGAAGGTCTTTCAGCAACCCATGCAGCTACAGAAACTTTATCCAAAAATATGATAGAGAACTATTTAAACATTGGAATCATGTGGCAAGCAATGGCTTATCTTGTCTTCTAACCTCTTGAGAACCATTATTAGAATCTTGGAACTGACAACTGCTGTCTGATACATGGATATGGAGGCTCTCAGAGATCTTCTTTATGATGTGTAGGCTGTAATGTTATTTTTAGTGTTGCAGTTAAGTAAGCCATTACAGAATGAAATCAATTTTTTTCACAATCTTGAATGTCTATATTTGATGGGCTTTCAAGAATTGTGATGACACCCATACCTACCAGGCTATAGCATCTCCTCCAGCTATAAGAAATGCCCCACACCCACTTTGTTTCACGTCATGTAAAATATATCCTGAATTGTTTCCTCTTGGAACTTCCACACATGGATGAGACTAGTGCACTACATCACTATGGCCATCTTTTCCTCAATCACTAGGCAATGCCACAGTGAAATGCTCATCAATTCTGATCAATATGATTATGCTATGCTACCTAAAGAGTAAAGTTCACTAAGATGTGAATATAGCTATGTCTCAATATGATTACACTTCCAATCTGAAATCTATGAAACAAATATGGAAGACCAAATGTATCCATCCCATATTTTTCTTCCAACTTCTCACGATTCATCAAGCAATAACTCAAATTTAAATATTAAAAAATAATAAGCTATAATAATGCAAGAGTAAAGAAATAAGTACCCTACGTTATTTTAAAATATTCTGTAACATGTTCACTCATATTAATGCACCAGTATGCCCGATCCTAAAGCCCAATAGAATAAAACCATTTGGTAAAGACTCCACATAGAATTCAGATAACTGAAACTCCATAAGAACAAGGCAACGATGATTGATTATCTTTGAAATAAATAACAAAAGAAATTTTATTTTCCTATCAACACAGCCTTTCCTTGGTAAAATTTCATAAAAGCTTAATGTAAAAATTGACCTTTCATGATATGTTTGGCCTTTGAGTGCAGTGCAAAAGTAACAAAATAAAAAGATGTAGAAAGTAAAACACACACACCACAGGTGAGGGCAGAGAAAGAGATAAGTGCGGTGAGGGGAGGAAAAAGTATGTTGATCATTTTTCCATATGGCCAAAAGTCAATCCTTTACTTAACATGACACTATTTCCAATCAGGCCTAATCTTAATCTATTATTAATCATCATTTCATCAAATAAGCCAAATATTAAAGAGAAGGGTAGTCACTCACATCAAAAAGTAAGGATCAAAGATTGAGATAAATACAAAAGCATGCTTACTTACCCACTGTGAGTCTCAATGGCCTCGATCTGCCTCAAAGCAATCCACAGCCAAAATGTAATCATGTGGCCAGGAACCATGGCGGGCCCAAGAAAAGATGGAATCCCAAGTATCAAAACCTCGGCCCAGTGCGCATACGGTGCTGCAAATCCTATAGGTGCTGTATATTCATGGTGAACCTTATGAATTTTTTCATACCCCCACTTTCCATGTAAAAATCTATGGATCCAGTAATTTGTGAAGTCTTCAACAAGAAAATAAACGACCAACTGAGATATGATCTCCATTAGTGATGGCAAGGGCAAGCTTGTCCGGATGCCGATCATCTACAAAAGCAATTTAGTAAGTTGGTCAATATTCCTACAAATCTATAAAGTGAAAGTAAAATATTCCCAATCATCTCAAATAAAATAAAGAACAGTAATGCATCACTTCACTTTTTCTTGCCTTAAGGCCAATATTTTTTTGGTCTTATAGGGGATTGTGAATGTTAAACTTTTAAGTCCTGACGATTGGTATAAGCCCCACTTAACCATTAAACCACCAAATATAACTTCATAATAAAAGAAAATCTGAAATTCTGAATACATAGCTGTTAATGAAATAGCACAGGGATCAAACTATGATGTAAGAACAGCATGAAAAACATCTGATTAGTTCGAGACTACAAAACTGAATCCTGTTTTTGAGGCTTGATAACACCATTGAATAAAGAGATTTAGTTCCATGGAATTCAGAAATCACTTGGATCAAACATAGAATACAAAAATCAAAACAAGATAACAAACTTGTTCTTATTGAACCAACCAATCACAAGGATTACATAAAATTTATCAGAGAGAACTAAAGAAATGGAAATCACTATCGCTGTGAGACCAAAAAATTGGCAACTAAAATGGGCAAACTTGGTCAAAAATACAATCACTTGATTAGATGGCTAATACAAGTAAAATCACCAAACTACTATACTAAAGTTGGAATCTATAGTCCAACCAGGATTCAGGTAAACTAAACTAATCTTGGATGTCAGCAATAGCAATCACACATAAAAAAGGTCACTACAAAGGTCAATGAACTATAATCTTGTATTCAAACTGAGATTAGAATACTAAAATATTCATAAAAAAGAAGTCCGCAACGTCACTAACAAGAATCACAGAAACACCATACAGTCGCTTATTTAAGTCAGCAGTATAAAAAAAGGAACTGGTTTTCAGCAAGAAAACAATAAGATTAATACTCGGCAATCAGATATCAGGTAAACTACAAAAAATCAGAAGTCGTAATGAAATCAAACTCTAAAAGACTTACTTGAATCGAAGGATAAGAGACGAGTTGAAGAGGTCCAACAACGAGGAGGAACATGCGCATTACATCGAAGTAGCAATTGAGATTATCTGCAAAGGAGTTTTTAACTTTGGGTTGAATTTTGTAAGGGAGGATGCTTTTGGAGAAGACGAGTTCGATGAAAACGTACAAGAGAGGGACGAGAGTGAAGACAAGGAAAAGGAAAAGAATGTTGTGGCAGTAGAGGAAGTAATCTGATTTGGTGGCGGAGTAATTGAACCAGAAGGTTTCAGCGGTGGTGAGTGATCGGCCGATGGCGGTTTCGGCGTCTTGAATGGAGGCGTAGGGCAGCATTTTGCGGCGGTGGAGAATTGGGGATCAGCGGCGATGTGAACTAGAAAGAAGGGTGGTTGGGTTATTTCCGTTGAAAAAATTGGGGGGAATCTAAAGGAAACCGGTGGTCGGAAATTGTAGACGTTTTCATTGAGATTATACTCTGAAACTTGGTTTTTATACCATTTCTGTCAGACATTTTTTTTTGCTGCTAAAACAACGGGCAGGGGTTGTTTAAAGGCTTATTTTGAATAGTTTGGTGTATAATGATTAAATGATCATAATGGTTAATAGGTTTTGTAAAATGAAATATAAATATTTGGTAATTATTTAAAATGAAATTAAGACGTTGAATGATTAAGAGCAGGTTCCTTCCTGACATTTTATACGCACGGGGACGAGATCTCAAAAAAGGCTCTCAAGAAGTACAATTTTGTTTCAATATATTGTTTTTAGTAAAATACTAGTTCATATAAAACTTTTTTTCCGAGTAATCTTAGATGACAAAATTAATCAATAGTTATTTCTAAATTAATATTATCTACCATATAATTTTTACATATCATCGTCAATTCGTTTCATCGTCAAAAACATCCTATAATATACGTTTAATATATAGATTGACATCATTTGAAATCACAGTTTTGATTATTTGGAGTAACACTCTACGTAAATCAATATAAATCAGTTGAGTTTTCATGTCACATCATGTTAATGTTTTACATCACCATTTTAAACTTTTAGGGTTAAAAGAAACTATTTTGAAACCAATAATCTTATAATCAAAAACTTACTTTGGTTATAGCTCTAGACATATTTTTGGTTTAAGTAATTAATAGTCAATATAGATAAAAGTTGGACCGTCTCATATGGTTGGTAATTGTTTTTTAAAAGATAGGAATTTTCTTAATTAATAACAAGAAATGTATTATATTACAATACAAAAGGGTAGGTTAAATGCACCCTTACCTACTAATTTTCTCGTCAGTTTTCACACACATCAATATCAAGGTTTACTTATTATATTTTCAATGCATTATTTGACTTGATTTCGACATAAATAAGGGTGCATATAGCAACACCCATACAAAAATAGAATTCATACGAATGAAATAATCAAAAAGAGTTAGTGGGAAATGAATACGGAGAATATATATTAAGATCTATAGTTAGGGTTTAGGGTTGGTATTAGACAAAAAACATAAAAAGACAATAAATTGAACGACCTATTAATATATCAAATATAATCTTCTTCGATATTAATTAATACATTTTTGGACCATTAATATAATACTAATTTTTTTGGGCCTATTAGATTCTTAAAAACTGACTCTTTTTTATTTATTAATTTTTTTAAACTACTACTATATACCAGTGTTCAAAAAGACACACATGGCTTGCGTCATGGCGCAAGAGGCCTCTCCGCTGTTACGAAATGACTCGTAGCATTCCTGTAGGCATGACTCATGTCATGGCGTCTTGAGACGTGCCACAATGTGCGTTTTTTGTAGCACATGATTTTTTTTCCAATTTTTATTTTATTTTATTTTATCTTTTTGTGTTTTTACACTTTTAACTTTAGATTTTATATTTTAAAAAATTTAATTAATCACATCACTTACAGTTTCACAAATTCATAAAAGTTATAGACTCACGATTGAAATGAAGTTATAAAATTACCTTTTTAAGTTTTATTTTAAATATTTAATCAAAAACTTATTTTCATAATAATAATCTATTAACTATATGATTTTTCTTCTTTTAATATGATTATACATTTTTTTAATATCATTATTTGATTAGATAATAATACATAGGAAAAAAAAAAAATATATATATATATATATATATATATATAATACTAATAAATAAGTAACTTTGGGGACACGTGTCACGTTTCTGTGCGACGGTTATTGATTTTTCCCGCCTAAAACACAATTTTCACTTGCGGCCCCCAGACTTACAACATAACTCTGGAAAAATTCACGTCTGAATTTAACTCTGGAGTGGTCATCAAAATCGGGTTTAAAATTTCAAATTCGAGTTTTTGAAACATTTTTCACAAAACAATATTACCCGGGAAAAAAATTCCAAGCTGACCTGGCAGCTCGACCCCAGCCAGGGGCTCTGCCCCTTGGACCCCGGCCAGGGGCTGCCGCCCCTTGGACTCCGCCACCCGAGGGCGCTGCCCCCGGACCCCTTCTGTTAGGGCTTCGTCCCTAAATCAAAATAAACTCAAACAAGTGTGCACTCCGCACCTGCCTTACCTGTTCAATATTTATCATGATTACATTGGTCAATAATTTAATCTCATTACACTTAAATGACATTAGTGATACAAATCATCAACATGAAGTCATCAGATATTGGTTATTTCTCAGACTTACAACATAACTCTGAATTGTTCTGTTCCAAACTTAGTTATATAGTTTATTCCCAGACTTAGAATACAACTCTAAACTCCTCTTCAGAGTTACGTTTCTGAGTTATGAGAAATCAAAATTCTTGTAACTCAGAGTTACGCTCGTAGATACTTTCTAGACTTAGAAGACAACTCTGAATTCCTCTTATTCAGAGTTAACTCCAGAGTTATTTTCCAGTCTAACAATAAAATTCCGAATTCTTGTGTTTCAGAGTTAATGTTCAGAGTTTTCTTTCAGAGTTAATGTCCAAAGTTTTTCTCATTTAATAAGAGCAAAGGACAATCATTTTCAAAAGTTGGTTTATTTCTAAAACAACGGAAAATGTATACAAACTTGTAGCATTAGTTAATTTTAGCAATTAACTCTTGAAAAGAACTTCACACTTGTAGCCAAATTGGTCGTCTTGATTTAGAAGTCTTGCAACGCTAGATATTGTTCGTCGTGAACTCTGGAGGATTTCTTAGCCCTTGTGTTTGTCAAGTCTGATTTTGTCCTTCATACAGAGCTTAACAGAGGTTCTGCACGTGCTATGCGGTCAATCTGAACTAGACTCTGTGTTTCGTGCAGAGCTGCACAGAGGTTCTGCATCTTAGTCTTGAAAAAGAGCTCTATCTCTTACTCCGAAGATGGCCTTCAGACTTGTAACTCTGAATAGTTTCCGTCTTAATCTCTGGAAACTTTCTTTACGCTTGTGTCCTTGAAGCTTGATTTCGTTCTTCATACAAAGCTTAACAGAGGTTCTACAGGTGCTACAGGGTCATTATGGCCATGCCTCCGTCCTTCATACAGAGCTTCATAAAGGCTCTGTACTTGTCTTGAGTAAGAGTTCTATCTCTACATGTACTACCTAGAGCTTCTGATTCCCTTTGTTTGTCTCATACAGAGGTATACAAAGGCTCTGCATATATTACGCAGCGCTGCATATTGGATCTACATTGTTCGTCTTCATTTAGAAGTTTTTTTGATCATCGAAGCACATGCCGTCCTTTGTATATGTAACATTTAATTCTCGAGTAAGAGCATCTTTATATCAAAAATTTAATCGGACTTGTACTTTTGTCTAAGTTTATAAATTACCTCCGATTATTAATTCTTTATAAAATACATATCAGTTTCGTTTAATTTTTGTCACTAACCCGTGTAATACACGGGTCCAAACCTAGTATATATATATATATATATACATATATATAATTCTATATATGACATACAAATTTGTCGTCTTATTCACGTCTTGAAAAACACCGCATCCTCGGCTTGGCGTGTAAGGCTTGAGGTTTGACCACGCCGCCACACCATGTCTCACGCCTTTTTGAACCTTGCTATATACTAAAAAAAAAATTGGCCCCCTATTTCTTGTGGGCCTTGGGCATGAAGCCGGCCAACCCTCCCCCAAGGGTGGCCTTGGTTAAGAAAGACCCAAGATACAAATCATTCAAAGGATTTTAGAACTATTAAAAAACATGTTTTTCCCCAAACAAGATTCACCTTTTAAAATATTGGAGATTGCATCTTAGTGGAACTTTTAAAAGGTAAATAAACAATCCCTAAGTTTATCAAGAGCATAACGAGTCTAACGGGATTTACTATTTATTTGATCAGTTATACATGACTGTCTGACAGTAACTTAATAATTAGTTTCTCGAGGGAAACTGTATGCAGAAAGCCAATTGTTTTTTTCAAATATCTTTTCCAATTAAAAAGCAAGCTCTTTTCTTTACAAAAATAATTTTGTCAAATAAAAACCTTTCTAATTTCTCTTGATATATTAATCCATACATACAACTTTATTCATATAAAACTTAAGCAAAGAATCCCAAAATCTTATTTGAAACAAATCGATTAGAACGTAAAAAAAAGTTTGATTTTAACAAGTTTAGGAAACAATTTTATTTTAAATCGTTAATAAAATAATTTAACTTTAAAAAAATCTATAAAAAACTATTCAGATTTCAATAATCATTTAATTTTAATTACATGATAAATAAGCTCCGTTGATACCTTATAGTTTTTCTGATTGAAATTATGTAAAATAATTGATTTTGAAATGTATAGCGGTTTTTAATAACAACTTTTAAGATGTAATGACTAAATTATAAATAAAGTGGACGTATAATTGTTATTTATTGTAAGTTTCTTTGAAACACGATATAGCTAGGGAAAAAAAATCAAACCTCAAAATTATGAAGCAATTAAAACAAATTGTTGTCTTATTCATTTTCATCATTAACATACAGTTGGGTCCTTAATTAAACTTAAACCGACAAGACTAGGTCTCAAGCTTTCCTTGCATGATATTGCATTCTAAGTCTGAATCAAATCTATTTGGATCCACAATGAATTATAATGGACTCATACATCGATTAGACTTGGATTACTTCTTCTGTATATATGTTGGAACCTCTCATTTCTCCTCAAAAGTTCTTTTGGAGAGTAATCTGAGGGTTCCACATATTTTTACAGAATGCAATAGAGGACATCCGGTATATTCCTCTCTCAATCATATTTAGGTTTCATCAAAACTGATCTTAAACTTATCAATTATCATATTATAACAGATAAACAAATATTTACGGTATTCTCTTAAGTAATATTATTATTTTAAAACTGAAGAGTAGTAATCTTCTGCAAAAAGTGATTGTGATGATAAGGTGAATGGCATGAAAGAAGAGAATTAAAGCTCTCAATTTGCAACCATGGCCTACCCCAAACCATCATCATATTACATTCAAATCAATCATTT